GAGTTCTATGAACATACAAAAGCACTCTGGCAAGATGAAGGTGTGAAGGCCTGCTACGAGAGATCGAATGAGTACCAGCTTATCGACTGCGCACAGTAGTGAGTGTCCCTCCTCTTTACATTACGCTTGGTTTGGCTTTTATTATTACAATCGAGTTTATATAGCGCCAAAGCTATGAGCTGTATTCACGTTTTCAGTCCACATCTCTTGTTGTGCAGTGATGGGTATATGGGCAGGCATTTTATGGTCACTGCAGAGAAGACCTTTTCAAGTTCATTGCCTTAGTATGTATTTTAGCTCCTCTAGCTCGTACCATAGACATTGTATGTTGAGTATGCTACATGTCAGCACTGCTTCAAAATGTTGTCATGTCAGTGTAAACTGGCCCCTTTTAGAAATTAAAATAAATTGATATGTCTTATGACACAACACCCAGGATTGCTATGTAGGATGCCACCTTACATAATTCTAGTTGCAGATGACCAAAATTAATTGTCTTTATTGAAATGTACCCCATAGTCTTCCTGTGGTAGTTTCACCTCCCTTGGTGAGGAGAAAAAAGTAGATGTTTTTGCAGGTGAGACAGCTAGCATTTACAGACTTTATCTTTTTTTGAAAAGTTTTTTTCTTCCTGAAAACTTTCTGAAAGCTCCATAAAGTGTTTCTTTTAATTTTTCGGCTGTGTGCAGTGCAAGTAAGGCTAACAAGTGGCTCTTTCAGCATATGGCAGCATAAATGAAGCAGGGGGCTGTGGTAGGAGGTAACACAAGTAAAAAGGACAATAGCGTGTATTGTTTCCAGGGTGCTGGTGTCCCGGCAATTGCTGCCGCACAGCCTCCGCATGAATAACTGACATATTTCGAGAGTCCCACTTGTGACGGCAGCCATAGCTTGTCCTTCTATCAACCCCCCCCCCCCCCCCCAATTGCTGTACAATTAGAGCTTATTGAAGTTCAAGAATAGGTTTAGTTAATTCCGGTTGTTAGAAAACTGCATGTATAGGTGGTCCGGTGACCTGAAGTGCTCTCCTAAGCACTGTTCATACCTATACTGATCCAGATGTGATCTCAGGAAAACACAAATGGTTTCTGTGATGCCTCTCATTGCCTCCTAGCTGAGGAGCTCTCAGTCTGGAATTAAAACTAGTTATGTTCCCATAAATCAACCAGAGCTTTTTATTCTATGCTTTGTCTGTGATGCCCATGTGGTGGTGAGGGAACGGCACAGATGTAGCGTGGTCTTAATCTCAATTATTTTTATTTTAAAGGTAAACTGTCAAGAGCTGTTTAAGAAATGCTGGCCGCCGGGCGGTCACGCTGGCCGCGGGCGGTCACGCTGGCCGCCGGGCGGCCACGCTGGCCGCCTGGCTTTTTGTGTGGGGACGCTGTCCCCCCTCTCCGTTAAAAATTTGGCAGATCAAGAGTTCTGGCACCACTCTGACCTCAGTAGCTGCATGGCTCTTCTAAAGTTAGTCATACAAGCATCGGTTTCTCTATGCTGAACAGTGTGGATGAAGCAATCTCCCCTGCCAGCTATTGTATTGTGATACTGACACATCACATTTTGTTCTGCCAGGTGGGGCTGAAGGGGCCACCCACAATTCCAGTTTCAAATGATTCAGCAGGAATCGACTAAAATTTGAGCTGTGTATAGCAGCCTCAGTATAGAAGCCAGGCGACTCACATTTTCAGGAGGTGGTTCACAATATGAACTGACCTTTCCCTTGACAGATTTTGTACAGGTACACAGGTAAAAAATATTTCTTGGTGTCTGGTGTATGTCCTTTCCAGTATGTAGGAGAAAAAAAAAAAAACTTCTGTGCAAAAGTGTTGTCATCCCTGGCCATCTCTAGACTGCTGGACTATAAAACACCTACCCCTGTCCTTATCTCCCTAACATAGTGGGAGGGCACTTTCTGTAGTCCATAGAGGAGATTTGGGCAGGTAACACTTTTTTGATTTTATTGTTGGGTTTTCAGTGCAGTACAGAGAGAGTTCACTGGATTTCTAGCAGGGCAATACATTTTGTTTAGTACATAAAGTATTTTTAATTTTATATATATTTGATTTTGCATTTCTGGGTAGTGGGAGCACGTGCCCTACCTGCACCGCCATTTGCGGCCACGGCTGTCAATCACCGGGCCCCGGCCGGTAATTACTCGCCAGCGCCCGGTGATTTCCGAGGATCTCTGACGGGAAGGAGGACTGGTTTGTTTACGAACAGTCCTCCTCCCTGTCAGCTTGGGCACTCTGCTGTGGATGACTGTGCACAGCCATCCACATCAGTGTGATTACAGTGAATCACACACATCCCGCCCCCTAGTAAAAACACTCCCAGCACATTGTTAACCCTTTGATCGCCCCTCATGTTAACCCCTTCCTGCCCTGTGCCATTAGTACAGTGTCAGGTTTTTTTTTTGTTTGTTTTTAGCACTGATCATTGTATTGGTGTCACTGGGGATGTCGGTGACACCAAGTTTCCCCCAGTGTCAGAATGTCCGCTGCAGTCCCGCTATAAGTCGCTGATCACCGCCATTACTAGTAAAAATGAATGAAAAAAAAAATCCCAGTATATATACCACCATTTGTAAACACTATAACTTTCACACAAACCAATTCATTTACATGTATTGGGATTTTTTTTCTAGAAAAGACATAGCATGATACATTTTGATGTAAATTTATGATGAAATTAGATTTTTTAATAACATTTTTTTATTGGACACGTTTTAATAGCAAAAAGTCAAAAATATAGTTTTTTTTCTTTCTTAAAATTGTCGGTCTGCGGTTTTTTGCACTATAAAAAAAAAAGATATTCAAGTACTACCAAAAGAAACCTCTATTCGTGGGGGAAAAAAGAGACATTTCATTTGGGTGCAGAGTTGCATGACCGCGCAATTGTCAGTTAAAGCAACGCAGCGCCGTAATTAAATAAAATGGCCTGGTCAGGAAGGGGGGTGAAATCCTCAAGAGGGCAAGTGGTTAAAAAACTAAAACATGAAAAAACAGGGCATGTATTGCAGAGATGTAATGCATATTTTATTTCATTTTTGTTTGCACGTACCTCTGTAAAGCTGCATACGTATACGTTGGGTCCTCTTTGGCTCTGGCCTTGTTCATTGTGCCATGATTATTCACAGCTCATTGCAGAAAAACGAGGCAAAAGGCAATTGTTAATTTACAGTCATGCTACATGTGTATATCCAGAAATTCCAGCCACCACCACCTGTGTACTGAGAATGGACATCCATGTGACTTGTAATAGACTTCTAAACAGGTTTCTTCACAGTAAGAGCTGTGAAAATGTGGAATAGACTCCAAGAGTTGGTTCTGGCCAGCTCAGTGGATTGCGTCAAAGTCCTGGATTGTTTCCTAGATACACAGAATATAACAGGATACTAACATTTATAGGTAAGGTTGATCCAGGGAATATCCGATTTGCCTCTCGGGGGATCAGGAAGGAATTTCTTTCCCTGCAGGAGCAAATTGGATCATTCTTTGCTAGTTTTTTTTGCCTTCCTCTGGATCAACTGAGGGTATAGGATTATAACTTTTTTTTTTTTTTTTGCTATGGTTGAACTGGATGGACTTTTTTGTCTTTTTTTTTTTTTTTTTTTTTTTCTGCCAGACTATGTAATGTTTCTTTTTTTGTATTAAAAATAAATGCTTGTGGCTGTAGGACTGTTCTATTATGAAGCTGCAATCTCCTTTTACAAAACCATCTCTACTGCCCCTGCCTGATTATGGGACTTGTGTTTGTGAGCCGTGCAGGCTTGTGTAATGCTGCTGGCTTCCAGTGTCTGCACTTGGTATTTGGGTGGATTTTGTACTGGGCTGCCTCGTGTGATGTCATGACAGATGATTGCTAACAGGCTGAGCTCCTATTGGCTTCTGCTTCTTCGTCATAACAGGGCCCCTGCAGCCTGAGAGCTTTGTGAAGGGCCAGATAGAATCCTGTGTATACAGCATATAGGATTCCCTGACACCGGCAAGATTTAACCCCTATGTACTCATTCTCAAGGTTATTGCACATTAAATAATTCCATAGACCTGACCCAGCACAGTGTGGCTGGGCTATTAGGAAGGCAAAGTTTGTTGTCCATTGCAACCAGATTCTAGCTGTTGGCTTATAGGGAAAGTTAAAGCAGAGTTCCACTCTCACTGTAAAAAAATGTCAGCAGCTACAAAAACTGTAGCTGCTGACCTTTTTTTTTTTAAAACAGCCATTCACCTGTCCCACGATTCCGCGGTTCCCCTGCCGCAGCCCGTTTCACTGGCTGTCCTGTATTCCAGGCGCCGGCATCTTCAGTGTGGGCACCCGGCTGTGACAGCTTGCGGCTTCACAGCCGGGTGCCCACTGTCCATGTGCAAGTAGCGCTGCACTTCCTGAATGGCCCCATAGTCTTCTGGGATCTGTCACGTGTCCCAGAAAGACTACAGGGAAGGACAACTTCTGCTTCCGATCGCCTATGCGATAGCAGAGGAAGGGGGAGCGGGTACCTGTCAATTTTGGTACCCGCTCCCCAAAGGTGCCTATCCTTAATGAGGAGTGGGGGACCAGTCTTTTAAAGCGGAACTTCCCCTTTTGGGTGGAATTCTGCTTTAAAGCAGCTCTTTATACAAAACCAGTGTCCCTTTTTTAATGTCATGTCTAAAGATCTGTTTAAAGGCATATTTCACCTATAGGGCTGGAGGAAGTAATCGATGGGCTACAAGTGTGATGACATCATTTGAGGTAGGAGTCCCTCTGCAAAACACAAGGATCAGAGGGCGTACCAGCCTAGCACGTTACCTCAGCTGTTCCTTTATTCATATATAAAAAAAAAAGCATACAGGCGTACCTCGGTTTACGAACGCCTCGGTTAAAAAACCGCCTCAGTTAATGTAATTTTTTGGTTTACAAATGAAAAGCCAATAAAAATGCCTCAGTTTTCGAATTATTTTTTTCGCAATTCGAACTAATTAATTGGTTTTCAGTGCATTTACTTTTTTTTTTTTTTTTTTTTTTCTTCAAATCCTGTACCGTACTATACCTTTGAAGTGCACTTTAGAAAGTTTTGAACAGAAGACTTTTTTTTTTTTTTTTTTTTTACCTCCGG